ATCTAAAATCAAATTGAATTAATATATTGTGTGTAGATATGATATAAATATTTAATTACTCTAATACTTAAATATTTTTAGTTTATTTGTATTTTGTAAAATATAGATATAAAACTACTCATTATCAGTTAAATAATCAATTTACTAAATATATTCTTACTTTGTACTCGAATATACATGTACATAAATTTTTTATTTTTTTTCATAATTTTGCATTTTGCTTAAAAAGTATAGTAGCAGTTGCAATCAAATAAAATATTCAAGAAACTTAGGTGAATACGTAGGTAAAGTACTCAAAACTAAATTTATTGCACATATTTCGTGTCATCAATAATACATAAACAAAGTTTCAGAAATGTTTATACATACATGTAAATATAGAACAAAAATCAAAAGTGATTATTTACAAGATGCAAACAATCTTAAATTTGTCGCGACTATGGTAATTCGCTAATAAATAGGTGTAAATCAGTATCAATGTTACATATTTAAGTACATATTAAGCGTCGTTCGTAATTACACTGATTAATGAAATGAGGTCAAGTATCTTACGAAGCGATAGATTTCATTATTCGAAATTCCTTTACAAATCAAATTTCGCGCCGCGTGCCTCAGATGCAATCTCGTTCCCTTTTTCGCTGTGTTCTGCAGTTGCAAACAAAACTGAAGTTTTAATAATAGAGGACTGAGGGCATAGGGATAAAATGTATCGGTTTCGTCCAATGCATCTTTACAGTTATTACTAAACTACAGATTTTATGCATTTATGATAAAAATGAATAGGTCAAATACTACACTTTAAGGCAGTAGGTAGAAGAATTTAAAGATATTGTTAAATTATTTTAACTCATTACAAGTATTAAAAAAGGAAAGACATTTTCATTTAAGCTATGTTTTCTTACAATTAACTCAATTAGACAATTTGTATCTTGCATAAAAGTTCATAGTCCAGTTATAGAATATAGATAATAATATAGAATACATATATAGAATAACCATTATTCAAATAAGAATTTGATTATAATAACAATATAAAGTAACATGATGCTATTGCAGGAATGTGATTTAGGACAACAAAGCATTCTGCATGCCATTTGAATACCTCACCAAAGATTCATCAGAAGCAGAGATATAAGTACCAATGAAGAGTCTTTGGAGGATTTCTTCTGATTTCAATGGCAGTGGTTGCAAACCATTGAATAAAACTCTTACTGATCTGCTTTTGGATGATTCAAGAGGATTCATCAAGAAAATTTGATCAAGAAAGGTGGAAAAATTGTAGCATTATAAAGGGTAAATACACATTTTGTTAATGTGTTCATGTGTACATTTATCAATGTAAATTGTTATGAAGTTTCTAATAATTAATATTATATTGTACTGTTTGCAGAGCATCAAGAGAATCGTGCCCATTTCTTTGTGTTTTGTTCAGCATCTTGTAAAATAGTTACAACAGGCAAACTAAGAGTAAGATGTGCTAATAGTGGGTTCTGTTACTGTAGATAGAGATCCCAAATGCTGGCTGGATGTACTCGAGCTAAGAAGGATAACAGTTCACTGTGAAAATGACTTATGTCTTGTACCTGGAACAATTTCTGATGACACTGATACTCAAGTTTTATATGCTCGTTTTTACTTCAAATGTGTAAGACGTATCAGTCTTGGAGAACAAGATGAAGCAGTTCTATTGTATCCTGTTAAATCAAACTTGAGGAAGATTCCTTGTTTAACATGCACAGATATTAAGTAATTACTGCATTCTGTGTAGCATGAATCAGGTTTTCATATTTTTAAACAAAGTTATATTATTTCAGAGATACAATACTGGTTTTTCCATGTGAAGCAGGACATGTAACTTGCTTGAATTGCTTCAAAGATTATTGTTCGGTTCGCTTACGAGAACATCAGTTTCAATTCGATGATAACAGAGGGTATTACACACTTTTTTGTCTAGCGGGATGCCCCGATTCTCTTATACCTAAAATGCATCATTTCCATCTTCTCACCCCTGCACAGGTATTTCAACTGCTTGAGGTGATGCAAAGAGCTACATATATACTTAAAACGATATTATTACATTTGTTGTAGACCTAGAAAAGTTATTCTATATTATCTTCTCTAGGCAAAATGGGATGAGGCTAGTAGGAAGACTATACAAAAATCGACAAAACACTGATTAATGAAAAAATGTAGAACACTAATTGGAAGAGATGGTATTCAAAATAATATGTAAAATTGATGTAATTACCCAATAAGCAATTTGTCCTGAATTTGACATGAATCTGACCGTACGCTATGTCAAATACTGTGCCATCCGTTTCCTCATTTCACACCGGATTTGGCACCAACGCCTTGTCCATACCAAATACGGGCCAAATCTAAACCTTATAGCATTGCCATATTTGCCACATGGGTGTTACCGACTTGCTCTCTTCAAACGAAATGTTTCGCTACAAGATTGCGTCAAGTTTGTCATTGATTTGGCAACGCAAAGCATCTGCTCGCAAATATCGAGTTATCTATTTCGTATTACACCAGGGATTTGACTTTAGTGAAATTCATATCAAATGCAAACTAAAAGCAGTATCTTTGCATCAAATTGACATAAATTTACTTGGAAAGTATACTACCAAGCATTTTACATGTACAGTAAATTCTCTCCAATTGTTCCTCAGCTTGTAAACAAAAATGGATAATTTGGGAAGAAAAGATATAATTATTTGAGCCTGTATGTAGTATGTATACATATATTATCTATGAATACATTGTAATGTTAGAATAAAAACGATGACTTAACTTTTTTTGTTTCTAATTTTTTATACGTGAAATTTTTTTTAATATATTGATCAGATTTTTCCAATTAAATTTTTTTTTTTAAATGAGACCAAACACGATATGTTTTAAACCATATTTATTCATTATACATAGCAAGTAATTTATTTTATTTACGAAAAAAGCATTACAAAACCGATTCTTATCTATATGAAATATTAACGGAAATGTCAAAGAAGGTATGTATGTCCTTCGAAAGAAAATATCAGTGAAGTTATGTTATCCATGCCTATGTTCTACCAACATCCGGAAGACAAATGCTTTTATTCGATGACATTCGGAGGACAGATGCTTCTATTAGACGATATTCAGAGGACGGGTGCCTCCATTCGTGACATTCGGAGGACAGATGCTTCTATTCAACGGATATTCGACGAGTCTACGCGTTTGGCAGAGAGTGTGAAGGAATAGTTTACTGTACCTTTTCCATCAATCCTGGAATTTTAAGTAGTTTTGGAGTAAGACCACTTAATGATCGAACATCGAGGAAAAACAACACTGTTTAGATACGAGGTCGTCGAAACTTAGCGTCGATAACGCAACGGGTGGGTTGCAGATGTGGCGACGAAGGACAAGGGCTAGAACTGAAGCTACGTTTTTCTGTGAGGTCAAGAGTCGACTCGTCACTATTGTCCGAATCGTGTGTTATTATTAGTAATATTAATAATTAGTGATATATAAATTGTGGCAATTAATATCGTTATTAGTAATCATTCTTTTTAATTGTTTTACACTCTAAATTACATACACATATCTTTACTACTAAGAAAAAGATATACGTTATTAAACATGCAGTAACGCTTGGATGTTTTGAAGGATCTTCGAGAAACAGAATCGTCGTCTGAACAAGTTGGGAAGAAATATGGCGTTGGACAATCTCATCGCATTCTAAAAGGTGCTACAAAAAATTAATGCATTTGTAGATAAAAGTAAACGCGAACTTAAGCGACAAAGGACAGTAAAGCCACTGTATGACGAAATAGATGAAGAATTATTGTCATGGTTGCTCTTATATTAGAAAAGGCGACGGAATTAAAAGAAAATTTGCCGTCATGTCCGTGATTTAAAGCGAGTAGTGGCTAGTTAGCAAAATTTAAAAAACGTCATGGCATAAAAGCAAAGATGTACGAGGAGAAACTTAGTGCTGATCAGGATGGAGCAGATGCTTTTGTAATTAATTTAAAAAAATAATAATAGAGGAAGAAAATGTAAGTTTGGAAAATGTTTACAATATGGACGAAAGTGGACTTGTATGGAAGGCTCTTCCGATGAAACCACTGGCTGAAAAAGTAGACAAAAATCTTAGTGGACATAAGGCGAAAAAAGATAGAATATGCAAATGCATTAGACACAAAAAAGATTATGCCTATCGTAATTTACAAATATGAAGACCAAAAAGCTTTGAAACAAGAAGTTTCATTATCTATAATTTTTAAATCGCAGACGAATGTATCGACGGATAAAACATTATTTTTAGATTGGTTTCGAAAACCATTTCAAACTATCTGTAAAATAATATGAGGAGGAAAAACAAATATCAGGGAAAGTAAACCTATTGTTAGATAATTGTGAAGCCCATCAAGTTTTGATACAAGAGAGAAGATGAAGATTTTAAAATTATGTATTTACCACCCAATACAACATCTACTTTTTAACCGATGGATCAAGGGATCATAGGGAAAATAAAAAAAGTTTTCCGCCAGAAACTTCTGCAACGTGTTTTAACGTACGATGGCGGAATAAACGAATTTTATGTCGACTACACAATAAAAAGCTGCATTGACATTTTATCCGAATCCTGGTCGGAAATTACACAAAGATATATTAAAAATACATCGAATAAAATTATTAATCCTGCTAGTAGTTCCATTCAGTCAAAAACAAGAGAGCTTGAATCTGATTGGCAAGGCATGATAAGTGAGATCAGTGGAGAACCATGCACCCCAAGTTTTATTAAATTATGAGGGAGCAGAAAGAAAGAGCGAAGACATAGAAACAAAATAAGAAACGGCAGAATTTTAAGAAGAACCGCAAGGAAAAATTTATGAATGGAGCAATAACGGAATTGGGAACAATGAATTACGTGTAATATTTGAGAGATTGACATTTTACAGTGCAAAAACACCAGCTTGCATACAATGCATGGTGCAGGGAATAAAAATATTTTTCTTGGGCAAGGAAAATTAAATAAGTAAGTACGTATTCGTACAATGGTAAAAATTTGCAGCTAATGTGAATATGAATTATTTATAAATTAATTTCTTTTTGCATTATTTGTTATTAAGAAATAGAGATCACTGTATACCACGATACTAAACAATTTCAAGGATGATACGCAACAAAAAAATGTAATGTAGAATATGATTTCTACCTAATTATGCATAATATCAATACAACTTTTTAATGTATAGTTATTATTTACATGTATAACAATGTATTTTTCTTACATAGTCATAAGCGATAATGCAATAAAATGAATTACACAATAAATATTAAATAAATTAATGTATTCGAAATGATATCGTGTTTGATTTTATTTTAATCAGAACTATCTGACCAAATTATTGGTCTCATTTTAATCAGAAAACTATCAGCAATATGTAACAACAAATTCAGTTTTAAAATGTTAATATTAAAAAAGTTATGTGATTATATTATGAGTTGTCTGTCTAGCGAGAATTACGGGGCACTGCGTCACTCATGGCACAGCAAACTTTTAACGTTTGGGGAGAGATTAATATTTTTCGAAATGAATTTTATCAATAGATGTGATCGACAAATTTTTCTAATTTTTCTATTTCCATTTTCCTAGGTTGGGCGTAATGCGACGTCCTTCGCACAGGATAATGATTATGATTGAAAAATGGACTGCAAGATAATTGAATAGTTCCTTTGTTCTTGTTAATATACTCTGAAGGATGGTAAAATTGCTTTTTTAATTTGTCGATGGATTGCACCAGAGTGGAATTGAAGCCATAGATGATAAACTTCGTTTTAACATGTAACGTTCGAACGCAATCATGTTTAACTTCTAGGTGCGTCCCTATCACCATTTTATTTATTCTCAACAAGGTATTTATTTTTTGCAAGAATCGAACGATATTGATACGAAGCATCGATGGGTTAACCTTCTTTGAATTTATTTGACAACCACATAGTCGAAGTTGAATATTTTGAAAATCGTGACCTTAGGTGTGATTCCTTTAGTTTCACCAGGAGCGTGTCATGAAGAGAAAATGCCCTAAACGATTCTCAACGTACAGTAGACGTGTACTGTGGCTACAATAATATATGCATACGAAGAAAATACGTGAAAGCAAACGTATATGGACAAAACGTGAATTTCTATACAACGTGTAATATATTATTGCGTTATACAGGAGTCTAGAATTTGCCTACCCAATTCCGTACTATGTTATTGACGGTTTATCGAATAACACAATATTCGAATTGCTTCAGTTAACTAAGGGCATCAAAACAAGAATGGGTATTTGTAGGTTGAATTTCAAACACCTTGTCGGTCAGTTGTCGATATTCTTCCATACATCTTTTACGTAGGTATAATTCATAAGAAGCGCTTTGAACTCCTCAGCAACCCCGGAAACGGGATTGTACGTTATTATATTCCAAAGATAGGATTACTTCATCTGCTACCTGGAAAATGGCGCGGAGGGGACTGATCAAGCGCATAAAAACCAGTAGCACCCCTAAGAAATTCGTGACGAAGATACCCAGCGTTAGTATTTCTTCGATCACTCCGAATTCCTCGTCGCCCGTTAAACAGCTCAAAAGACAGGTAGATAAAGAAGCTGAGGTGAAGCAGAAGAGGAGGAAGAAGGAGCAACATGCGGTACCTAAAAGAAAATACAAAAAAAAAAATGTGAAACCAAGGCTACGGAAAGAGCCTGAAGTATCTGATAGCAGTTGGGAAACGACGTTGGAGTTCACAGATGACAAGAAGGAAAATCTACAGCCTGCAAATTCTTCTCCGATGACACCTCTACTGTTTCAGGGTCGTCCATCTCCAACCCTGGAACGGATTCGCGAAGCTCATTGCTTTTACGATTTTCATTTTGATTCACCTGTTTCTCGGCATGGCGAGGAAATTGCGAGCCCGGTGAGGGCAGACTTGGGAGATGGCGTGGAACTGTTGCACTTGAAAGACCTCCCGAGTGTTCACACTCTTGTTTATAGCAGTGATGAAGAGGATGATCTTCTGCTGACAAGTAATTAGAACATTTTTAACCCGGAACTGACAACGACTGTTGATTAGACACATGTCAGATTGAGGTTTATTTGTTAACTTGTCGATAATTGTAGTTCAATTTTAGAAAACCACAACAAGCAGTTGAGGACTCATTCGGGCGTCAGACATCGACGGAGACCAAAAATCAGTGTTGATAAGAGTAAACGGTGGCTGGTTGACGTAAAATGCCCTACAGTGGCGGCTGACATGCTCTGGGATGAATATGTTCGCACGCACCCTGAAGAAATGCGTGAATACGTTGCCCCAGCTACTAATCAGAATGTGACTTCATTGCCGAAAAGAAAAAAAAAAAATTATGATAGAGGTAAATAATTGCTTACGACATATTACGAAATTAATGTAATCGAAGTTTTCTTGAGTCTAAATGATTTATTGCTAATAGATAAGGCTCGCGAAGAACATGGTCAAGAATATTGGTTCGGCAATGAAGATGCACCGAAGGCTACGTACTATAGGATAGATAGACATCATAACAAGTTCACTAAAAAATGGACCCAGAAAGAATATCCTGAAGCCGAAGATTCAGATTCAGATTTCGGGAGAATTGAAACCGGAGTTCTAAAGATGACACTAAATCAATATCTACAGAAATGCAAGGCTAAAAAACATTTGGCTTCGCAAATGGCTGATCCGTCATACTTGAAATATGATAAAGTTACGAATGTTACAAATAGAAAACGAAAAATTGTTAATGTTGAGAATGTTAACGATTTAAGAATATCCAATATCGGGGCCAAAAGTACACCTGTGATCAGATCTATCGAAATACCAAAAGGTATCAAATACGTAAGAAAAGGATTTAAATGGTTAATCAAGCGTGGATGATGCTCTTGTACAATTTTTTTGTTATAGTCACGGATATGTTGAAATCGTAAAATCGGTTAGATCATAAAGCAATCATGTTGCAGTACTCGCGACAATGAACTTCGATTGGAATTCGACTTGGTTGCAAGATTTCATTTTGAATGTTCATTCTTTCGACTTCCAAACAAGACTACATGGTCCAGTCGATTTTAAAATATCGTGTCCGCCATTATACTGATTTTTGTTACAGTATACTCTTTTGGTTGCATTGAGTCGTTGTTCGGTCGGTTGTTATGATATTTGTTATTTATAATATTTATGTTATCATTAATCATTATTATCATTGAATATACAATAATTATATATACCTATATATTGTTATACTTTGTATAATTGAAAATTTTTAAATAAATTTCGTGTATCTTCCTTTGTATTCTACACCGTATGTATAATAGCGCTATTTGAACCCTTGAACAAAGCGCAACAAATTTGAGATGTTATCTGGTAGAATCTAACAGCAAGTTTGAAGATACATTGCTGTGTTTCGTCTTAAACATATTGCATAACAAATTGCCAACACCTGCATTATCAACAATGTGTGTGTATAATAGACTCAAATATATACATTAATTATATATAATTACATATATATATAATAATATAATTATATATATATATAATACACATTTGATTCGAATGATTAATTCTACCATGAATCGCAACTGTTGATTGGTAACATATCTCCGCTCGATCTTTTACGTTTCCTCATTTTGAGTGGGAGCGAATTGAAATCGACGGTTGCAGTGATTGGTTTGAGTTTGTTTTTGGAATAACTCTTTGTGCATTTATGTGAAAACGAACACTGGCAATACACTTGCTATCGATCTGGACCCAAAATAGGGTATTAAAAATATGAAAGAGATAATGGCCTTTCAAATGGGCACATCACTCAAAGACATCAGAATTATTTTAACGGGAAAAGAGTTGCACAATTCGACGATAATAGATGTAAAAGCTTGTATTTAGTACAGGAATAGTGCTTTTACATGGCCAGTTGAGGTTAGGTACCCTAATTTCATTCACTGAATAATTGTCCACTCTACTGCTCCAGGTCGCAAGCCATGGAATTGGCGGCGGAAAAACGCACACTATGACGACCCACACATAGAAGAAAAACCATATACGTATATTGGTTTGCAGAGGTTTACATCCACTAAAACTGGCGCTTTAATATCGAAGTGTGCAGTTCGCAAGTAGAAAATTTAGATTCCCGAATGACTAAACTCGGGGGCTTCGGTTGTAGAAATATCCGTTTTGCAGTTATTGAGGAGATATTTGCAATATTCGGCCAGAGTGGTGTCAATCTCACGACCATGACGTCACAAGATAGCCGCCGCTAACAGTTTCTCGTAAACATCGAGAGATTTAGAGCTCGAATCGAAAATTCACAACCGAAGCCACCGAGATAAGGCATGTACAAAGGCAGTGGAGTGTATTTTCCGTTGATTACTTAGTTAATTAAGACATACGGCTGGTGGATCTGAAGTGGATCTAAAACACCACCTGGAGGTTCCGACATTCTTCACTACTAGCGCCACAGTTCTCTTCCAATCAAAAAGATGCACCACAGACGAGCTTGTCGGTGACTATAGTTAGTTACAGTCGATAATACAGATCGACAAGTTACATAGCTTTATACTTCCATCCAAAATATTTCG